TTCTTTTCCAAGAGAAATCCTAAATCTGGATTTCAGTGTTTAGCTGTTGTCAGTTACTGAAACAACTGAAATAACACTTTAAGAAAAAAACCAAAACAACATAGCTACGGGCTATTCAACCTTCAAGCCCCAAGTGCAGTTTTGACCTGGTAATAAAGGTTCCAGCCAGGACCTTTTCTGGTTGAGATCTTACTTTTTTGGGCCCCAGTTTCTGTAGAAATAACTGGAAACACCGAAGTCTCCAAGGATGGCAGGTTGGCACAGTCTCAGGAGGGTGGGGAAAGAGTGATTGATGCACATCTGGGATGAGGGAGTGAAGGCTGGCGGTGTGTAGGTAGAGGGCCATTGGCCAGGTGCCTGCTGCCTAGATGATATATGCTGGTTCAACTCACCTTGTGAGTTGAACAGGAAGAAATCCATTTGTGACTTTTATAGCCCCTGGATGCCGATACATGATATGAGGAGCCAGACCTCAGAGGGCCTCAGAGAAGAGCAGAACAAAGCTCACAGCCTCCTTTCTCTTTGCCTGCATTTTGGTGAGCAAGTGGTCAGCTCACTGCTCTATGGGGTATTTATCCATCCTGGGGCTTTAGTCTAGCTTGGTGACGACTTACCTATTTCTCCTGGGCCTGGGTGATCATTGAAGAGGACATGGGCCCTGTTTGGGGCCAGGATGGAGAGCAGAGACACGCTAGAGCTCAGTCTCTGTCATAGATAGGGCAAGTCCCCTGTGACTTCCCAGGCCCTGGGGTTGGAGTTCACACCCTGCTGGGGTGTGAACTGGATTTGAGATGGTCTGCCTGGGGAAGTTTTGCTTCTGTTTCCAGATCTGTTAAAAGGGAGTAATTGAAGTAGCTGCCTCCTGGGATTATTGGGCAGACTAAATGAGAAGAGACATGTATAAATTGTCTGCATAGGGCCTGTGGTAGGTGTTCAGTAAACACAAAGTCCCTCCCCCCTCCCTGACCCAGTGGAGACTCCTCCATTTCTGCTTCTCTCAAGGCTGTTGATATTTGCAACTCTATCGTTTCTTAAGCTGGCAAATTCCTTGAGCAAGGACCCTAACTGACCTTTCCATTTTTAGCTTTTACTTTTTTCCCCCAATTATAAGAGAAATGCATTGCTACAATGAGTTGCTTTAAAAATGTAAAAATAAAAAAAGAGGCCAATGCACACCCATTATATAAAACATGGAAGGTGCAAGAAAGTGACTAGAAACAGAACAAAACTGTCCTAAATTCCACCACCATGGATGTTTCCTTCTAGTCTTGTGTGTGTGTGTGTGTGTGTGTGTGTGTGTGTATCCTGAGGCTTGAACTCAGGGCCTAGGTGCTGTCCTTGAGTTTTTTTTTTTTTTGTTGTTGTTCAAGGCTAGAGTCTACCACTTGAGCCACAGCTCTACTTCTGGCTTTTGGTCATTCATTGGAGATAAGAGTCTCATGGACTTTTCTTCCCTGAGCTGGCTTCAATCCTCAGATCTTAGCTTCCTGGGTAGCTAGGGTTATAGGGGTGAGCTACCAGCACCCATCTCCTTTGAGTCTTTTTTTTCCTGCATTGCACTTTATGAAGGTTAAGGCTCCATTCTGCCTATTTCCATATCCTGCCTTTTCATTTACTGTATCAGCTTCTGTTAAAACCACTGTGAACCATTTGTAAACATTACTTCTAGTGGCTGCATTTATTTTCCAATGTGCAAAAAGAAAAAAAGGTAAGAAATGGAATCATGTGTACTGAGATATGCAGAATTAAGTATGTCTGAAGAAAACAAGAAATGCAGTTTTGATGTGTTAAGCTTTATACCTATAATTTTCCCAAGCTAGCTCCATACAGGCCTTTTGCAGTTATTACCTTTTAGGAAAGGATAGTTGATCAGTTTCTGTACAAGAATAGATCACATTTACCAAAACATGTTCTTTATGAGGGGCTGAAAAATTGAGAAATAATAACACAGGACATTTAAAACTCTTAAATCTTGTGCCTTCAATGGAGCCGGTGAATTCTGTTTTAACAATCAGTATGAATTTTTTCTCCTGGATATAAGAAGAGATACTGATTTGTTAAATAAAAAAATCATATTGTTTGAAAGTACCCGCTCAAGTGGAAGATTATATAAATGCATAAAAGAACTGGCTGAGCCTGATTCTCCTCTCTTTAGAATTATATTTTACTGTGAGTAAAACATGTGTTATTGGAAATGCTGTAAGTTTACCTGTCATGTTGTGGAAGGGTGGCAATTTAAGGAAGAGGTAGGGAAAAGGAACGTATTGGGAGGCAATGCTTCTTAAGTGTTTTAAGAAGCCCTGGGTGTGGCTCAGTGGTAGATTGCTTGTCTATTATGCATGAGGCCAGGTTCCATCCCCAGTAACATTAAAAAAAAAAAAGAAAAGGAGGTAAAGATTACCTAAATCTAGCTTCTTGTTTACAGAGTGAAATGACAGAGGTAAAAAGCAAAGCTGAACCACAGCAAGCTTGACAGCCATTTCTAAAGTTCTCAGTCAGTTTCTATTGGTTGTCTCTTAGGTCCCTCCCACCATCCTGCTAGTGTGGAGGGCTTGCTGGAGGCTCTTCTTCCCAGACTTCTGCTGTCTTCTACATTCACTCAGTTTTTGGTCCATTAAAGTCAAACCCTTGCAGTCCTGCTGGCCCCCTTGCCAGAACACTGCCAGGGGCTCGGAGTGACATCTGTGTCATTGTAAAGATGCCACCAGGTCCACTACCATCTTTCCACTCACTCAGTGTATTAATTTTTCTTCTGGCACTGAAATAATATTATTCCAAATCTAGTTGTTATAACAACAGGAACATATTATTTTTCAGTTCTGAGCCTGACTTGGATCTCAGAGTGGGGTTAAGATCGAGGTGTGGCTCAGGCGCTGGTGGCTCAAGACTGTAATCCTAGCTCCTTGGGAGGCTGAGATCTGAGGATCTTGGTTCGAAGCCAGCTAAGGCAGGAATGTCTGTGAGATTCTTTTATTTCTTTTTTGGGTCAAGTCTTGGGGCCTGAACTCTGGGCCTGGGCGCTGTCCCTCAGCTCTTCAGCTCAAGGCTAGCGCTCTACCACTTGAGCCACAGCGCCACTTCTGGCTTTTTTCTTTTTTCTTATATGGTGCTGAGGAATCGAACCCAGGGCCTCAGGCATGCAAGGCAAGCACTCTACCACTGAGCCACCTTCCCAGCCCCGTGTCTGTGAGATTCTTATCTCTAATTAACCACCAAAAAGTTGTAGCTGTAGCTCAAGTGGTAGAGCACTAGCCTTGAGCACAAAAGCTTAGGGACAGTGCCTAGGCCCTAAGGCCAAGTCCAGGAGTGGGATACACACACACACACACACACACACACACACACACACACACAGATGTGGACAGGGACGACTCCTGGAGACCCCAAGGAAAGCCTTTTCCTTGTCTTTCCCAGCAAAGCCTGCTGCTTCCTTAGTCCCAGTGTCTTCCCTCCATCCTTTTGTATGTTGTTAATTTTCAAGCTAGGGTCTTGCTTTATGGCCAGGCTGGCCTGAGCTGTAATCTACTTACTTGTGTTTCTCCATGTGCCTAGACATTGTGCTTCCCCTATAGCTGAGATAGCAGGTGTGAACCACACAGTGTGGTTCACACTGTGCCCAGCCATTGGCTGAGATGCAGTCTTGTCAATATCCTTTTGTCCAGGCTTCCCTGTCTTTGTCTCTCAGTTAGATAGGTTACAAATTTGAGCTACTATGCCTGACCTCAACTCTCAGTTTTAAGGTTAGCTGACTTATTCTATCACGTAGCCTTACTTTCCCTTTGCCATACAGCCTGACATATTCTCTTTTCGGGGGACTAGGACATAGATGTCTTTCTGAATCACTACTCAGACAACCACGTCAACACCTGTGTATACGCATTGTAGCCTGGGCATTTTGTCATTCTCTTTCTTTCCTCTCTTTTGCATGGTTTGCTGGGCTCCTGCTTATGCAGTGGCAGCATCCTCTAGTCTTTGCCAGATGGGTTAGAGCCATGGGGGTGTCTGACTATGTTTCCTTTCTACAAAGGAACTGCTGTGTAGTTATTAGACTATATTCTTGCCATTTCCTTCCCTGGGCCTGGACGTTGCTCCTGTATATGGATGCTCCTGGAGGAATATGCAATTGGAAGAGTCAAACTGAGAGCCACTCAGACCCCAGATTCCTTTTCTGTCCAGAGTTTTCAGATCTTCACCCTTCCATGCTCCAGCCTTCCCTTGTATCCACCAGAGCCATGGTTAGGGTCAGTCTTGCTTTGATACCCTGTGCAGAGCACTGCTCCACCTGGCCCCTCCGGGGCTGCTGCTGATTGTGCTTCAAGTCTGGAGATGGCTTTGCATGAGGTTGCACTGCAGGTGGTCCTCTAATGGAGTGTGGCTGATACCAGGAACTGTGAAGTCCTGGATTCTCCAGAAGCCCGTGGCTCAGCGAAGGGACAGTATAGTCTTCCTTTAATGTACTGCAGGCTCTGGGGTTCTCCTTCATTTCAGGGTCACTCCTGTCTGTGTGCACATGTATTCACACGTATAGGTGTGCACATGAGCATGTGTATGCACCTGCATGTGAGTATACTCACCTTCTCTTTTTATGGATATAATCCTGCCCTACTCACCTCTTTGTCTTTTGGGGTCTCCCTCCAGTTTCCCTCTTGCCTTAGCTCTGCCCCTTGGCTGGGGGATGAGGCCTCACTACTTGGCATCTGGCAGATTGACCCCTCATTCCAGGTGAGCGGGTGTGTGGAGGTGCTGTTGTGAGCTGCTGCCAGCCCCATTCCTGGTACCAGAGGCCTTAACAACCACACTGTGGCAACGGGTTGGGACATTTTCCCAAGTTCTCCTGGAGATCAAATAGCAAAACCAGCCACAACTTGTAGGAATAGGTAGACTCTACAAATTCTTTTTTATTATTTTATTTTATTGTAAAGATGCTGTACAGAGGGGTTACAGTTACACGAATAAGGCAACGAGTACATTACTTGTCGATCACTGTTACCCTTTCCATTAAAAATATGGAATGCTTCATGAATTTGTGTGTCATGCTTGTGTAGGGGCCATGCTAATCTTTTCTGTGTAGTTCTAATTTTAGTATATGTGCTGCCGAAGCGAGAACTGTACAAATTCTTATAGTTGCCAGATAGAGCGGCTAGCCTGTTCCCTTTCATCAGCTGTCCAGCTCTGCCCTTAACCTTTCACTCCTGTTAGGGTTTGTGTCTTGAATTTTTTCACAAGCTCCTGTGTTAAAGCCTTGGACTCAGCCTGTGGTGCCCTTAGGAGGTGGTGGACCCTTTACTTATTTTTATTTATTTTTGTTGGTTGTGGGGCTTGAACTCAGGGCCTGTGTGCTGTCCTTGAGCCTCTTTGTGCTCAAGACTAGCACTCTACCACTTTGAGCCATATCACCACTTCCAGTTTTTGAGTATTTTATTGGAGATAAGAGTCTCACAGAGACTTTTCTGCCCAGGCTGGCTTTGAACCTTCATCCTCACATCTCAGTCTCACAAGTAGCTAGGATTACAGGTGTGAGCCATCGGTGCCTGGCATGGAGGACCCTTTAAGAGGTAGGGCATAGTGGGAGGTCTTTAGGTCATTGGGGGTGTGTCCTTGGAGAGAAAATGGGATCCTAGTCCTCCGATGTGGTGGAACCTTTCCCATTTTATCAGTTAGTGTTAACTAAGTTATGCTGCAATAACAATCCTCAGATCTTGGTGGAGTCATGCAGGAGTAAGTAATTTTTTGCTCAAGTAATGTGTTGATCATTGTCAGCAGGAGGGTGGGCCTTGGTGGTCTGCCTGGTCATTTTCCAGTTGCTGGGCCAGACAGAAAGAGAGCTCTTTGGACGAGTGGAGCTAGCCTGGATCTGATCTATATCACTTCTGTTTACAACTCACTGGCCAAAACGCATCCTGTGGCTCCAGCTCGTCACCAGGTATCCAGGAAGCACAGTAGTGCTATGTGCCTGGATGGGGAGGATGAAATACTTGCTGAATAACACAGTGCCTACTTCCAATTCATGTCAAAACAGTTCTGTGTTTTCCTTGGTGATTCATTAAACAATAGCATTCAAGAAATGATCCCATCCACTCCCTTTGCACTCTCATTTGCTTGTTCTTTCCTCGGGGCCCCTGGGCAGCCCTCTGTGTGTGGGAAGCCAGGAAGCCTGCATTCCCAACCCCACACTCCCACCTGTATGTCTCCCAGTCTTGTGTTCCTTGAGCCTGGAGTGTGAGATGTCCTAAGCGATGGTGAGAGGCAGTGCGGGAGGGGGAGGTGAGGGGAGCTTTGGGAGATGTTGGCTTAAGGATTTATAATTGCATTAGATAAGAGTAAGTACAGGATATCCATTGTAAGGGTGGTAACAGCTGAAGATAATACAGTGTATTTTTGGGAAATGCTGAGAGTGGATACTGAGTGTTTTTACTACAAAAATGTTAACCCTTTTAGGTAATGCATTGATTGACTAGCTAGCTTTAACTATTACATCATATATATATATATATATATATATATATATATATATATATATTATGTTGTGCTTACTAAATGCAAGCAGTGTGTGTGTGTGTGTGTGTGTGTGTGTGTGTGTGTGTGTGCATGCTAGTCCTGGAGCTTGAACTCAAGGCCTGCCCTCAGTGCCCCTAGGCTTTTGTATTCAAGCCAAGTGCTCTACCGCTTGAGTCACAGCTCCATTTCTGGCTTTTGGGTAATTAACTGGCCATAAGAGTTTCACGGACTTTTCTACCTGAGCTGTCTTTGAACCACAATTCTTAGATATCAGCCTCCTGAGAAGCTAGGATTACAAGTATGAGCCACTGGCTCCTGGCAAAATAGACACTTTTATATGTCAATAAAATCAATTTTAAAAAGAGAAGAAAAGATTGGGTCCCAGGCTCACCACCAAGGGCTTCACACATTTGACCTGCCTGCCCTTCCTGTGCCCTTCCTCCCGCCTTGTCCCTCCTCCCAACTCCATGAACCTTCTCACCACTTTTCTGTACAATGGTCCTGGGCCATGGAGACCATGTGTGTCCCGGCTGTGGCTGGCTTATGGCATTGTGATAGCTTTTCTTCTGGGGTGCTGGTCTCTCCAAAAAGAGATGGACAGAAAGGTGGCTGGAGTCTGTCCAATATCTCATCCTGCTGGTTCTCAGACCCTTGAATTGGCCTTGAACAGTCAGTTTCCTGGCCAGTGGTTGTGAGTTGGGAGAGAGGGTCCAGGGTTTGCTTTCTGGACCTCAGATACAGTCAGGGTGGCTGTGGGGCGACTGGATGCTCCCCTTTACCTGTTTTGGGGACCAAGATGTGGTAGGGCAGGCTTCCAGGAAATGAAGCCAGGGGGCCTCTTGCTGGGGCCCAAGATGGCCCTCAGCTAGGCCGTACTTCCTCCTCCCTAGATCCAGTGGGTAGCTCCCAGATCCTGTTGGTTATCCTCTTGAGAGTGTCAGCTTTGTGGCCTTGGCTCTCCTATTTTTCGAGTCTCCTACCTCATATCACAGCTGTGTCTTCCCTGCTCTGCACCTGTTCCCAACTCATGCCCTTCCCACTCCTCCACCAAGAAAATATGGCCATCTGGGAGCTGAGTAGGGGGTGGGGGTGGGGGTCGGGTAGAAGTCTTGTTGCTGTCCCTCAGGCAGACAGGGCTCTTGATCCACCCTGCTGTGACTACAGGCAGGTAATCTGTTTCTTGCCCTCTCAGTGAGGATGACAGCCAGGGGTGGCCGAAGAGATGAACTGAAATGTTGCACCAATGAACAGGCTTGTGGGGTGTCCTATCATCAGCCTTTGAGGGGGTTTTGGACACCCCTGCCCCCATCCTGCCCTTGCTGGTATCCCATAGCCCCTGCCTTACCTTGGGCAGCTGAGGCATGTGACCCGGAGCTAGGTGTCTCTGGAGAGCAGGGGAGAAGGTTGATACTGAAGACATGTCTCGTATGGAGGCTGCTGGGAGCCATCTGTGCAGGGCAGAGCTCTGGTAGCTGTGGCAGTCACTGCATGGTGTTTTAATCTCTGAGCACACAAAGTAGCTAGAATCCAGCCAGCCTGGCCCAGATGATTCCCCCTCAGCCTCTCCCCCATCCCCACGAGCCCCACCTAGACCTGGCTATATTTGGTGGAAAGGAGTTTGAATGTTGAATGTTCTGGTGTGACTATGAAATGCTCCCCTGCAGGATCTTTTAGATGTGTGTGTGGTGTGGGGGGGTGGCGCGATGGTTGCTAGCTGATGGCTTGGGGAATGACTGGATTCGTGGGTTCTGACCTCATCAGAGCAGGAACCCCTTGGTGGATTCATCATATGATGGTTTTTGGGGAATGGGAGGTGAGGCCCAGCTGGAGAAAGGAAGTCACTGAATTGTCCCTGTCCCTTTCCTCTCTTGCCCTTCTGTCTACAGTGGGCTGCCACGTGTGCTGCTTTACCACATACAGGCCCAGAAGCAGTGGAGCCAAGTGACTGTGTACTGAAATCTCTGGGACAGTGAGCCAAGAATGAGTCTTCCCTTGTCCTGTGTTTTCTTGGGTGTCTTGTCAGTGATAGAAGGGTGACTGGGACAGAAGCTCCTAGTCTTGAAAAGATCACTCTGAGCCTCAGTTTCCCCCTCTGTGAAAGGCACGGCCCACACAGCTATGTCCTACTCTTGGCTCCCGTGGTGCCTCTCCTGCTCCATGCACGGATGGACACGATGTAGCTGGCACTGTCCTGGACTGAGCTGGGGGCTGCCTTAGGTCTTTTTACCTGAGTGCCTGGAGGTGTGGGAGCAGGGAGGGGCTCCCTCTACACCTGGAGCTCTGAGATCTGACCTGAGCTTTGGCTAGCATTGTCTTTCTGGTGTCTGACACAGATGCTGAAGTGGCTCTGACCTGGCTGGCTCGATCTAGGACTGGTGTCTTCTTCTCTGGCATGCCCATGCCCAACATGTGCGGTTCCTTCTTAGTCTCAGGTGACTCCATTCTTCCTTCCATAGTGCACTGCTAGGGCACTGCCTTTACTCTTCTCTCCCACTGGGCTCAGGCACACCGGAGAATCTAGTGGGTGGCCCCCAAGTCCTGCAGGTTGTCAGCTAGATAGTGAGATTCTCCATAACACAGAGCCCCAACCTGGAGCTGGCTCTGGGGGCTCAGCTCTGCGTGAGATCGTAAGCCTCAGGTCATGGCATCTGGGAATTGGGTTAAAGCTCTCAAGGGCTGAGGTGCAACCCTTCATGGCCTATGTGAGTTGGAGCTTCCCAAGGCTCTGGTGGCCCTTGTTCCCCGGGACAGACGGTCTGGGTGGGCCCATCTTTAGGGGAAGGATGCCTCAGTTGACAGTGCTGAAGAGGTGGGACTATACAGAAGGGACTGGCAGCCTATGGAATCTGGACAGTATTTTATTGTGTATATACACATGTGCACACACAGATGCATACCTAAGCACACATGTACATGCATGCATGATTGTGCATATGCATACACTTACGTATACAACATGCATCACACACTTGTGTACAAGTTGCACAATATGCATGCACTGTACTTCTATGTACATGCAGTACACAACATATATTCATGTGTGTACACGTGCATATACTGATGTGTGTGCATACATGCACACACAAGGAGACTTGCAGATTTTAATGCTACCCAGTGCATTCAGCAAAGAAGGCCAGCAGCCCAGCTGCTGTGTGGAGCTCTGAGCCCCTCACTGTTTTTAAAAATTTGTTTATTTTTATTGTTATTATAAAGGTGTTATACAGAGGAGTTACAGTTACATTAGGCAGGTCATCATTACATTTCTTTTTGGATAATGTCACCTCATCCCTCCCTCTCTCCAATTTTTTACTCCCATCCCCACCCACAAGTTATATAGTTCATTTTCCACATAGTGTCCAGTGAGTACCACTGCTGTATTTGTATCCCCACTTACTTACCAAAAGACAGAACAATGAACAAACAAGACAAAAAGGAAAAAGAAAAAAAACCATCTTGTTTCCATTTTCTGGAGTTCATTTCAATGACTATGATTTCCTATGATCAGAGCCAGAGGCATTGCACCTTGGTGTTGCTCAAAGCAGCACTTTTTTACAGGGGCACGAGTCTGCCTCTGAGCACAGGAGCCTGGCTAAGCACATCCTCTCAGGC